ATACACATGCATCCAAAGTTCATCATAAGCATGCTAGTGTGTATAAGTGTGAATATTGTGGTCGTTTTGGTCATCTGGCTAAGTATTGTTTTGATTTAAAAATGAATTCTCTTTTGCCAAATGATTCTAAAATACCACATGTGTTTAATTGCAATATTTGTGGTAGATTTGGACCTCTTGCAAAATTTTGTTATGATTTGTAAAAAACTTCTATGTGGAAAAATGTTCCAAATAGACCCATGTTTAAAAGTATTTCGCATTTGCAAAAAGCTTCAAATAATTCACCTTTGTTTGCAAATGTTCCACAGCTTCAAATAATTCACCTTTGTTTGCAAATGTTCCACGTGCACATCCACATGGTCAACATAAACAAATGCATCCTCTTCATTGCACTTATTGCAATCGAATGGGTCATTTGCATAATTATTGCTATGAGCGGATCCGTGTACAAAATGTGCCCAAAAGGGATCATAACCCTAGGGCTTTAAGCTCTAATGATTGGGGTCATGTCTCTAAACTCTTAGGTACCAAGAGTAATTGCGTACCAAAATAAGTTTAATCTTTAAGAACGAATTCTTTAGCTTTTTAGTTTTTCATGTTCTTAAAGATGTTTTTATTTAAGTTTTATAAACCAAAATTGAAAACAATTTTATGCTTGGTATTTGATTTGAAAAGTTATCATTTATATTTTTGTCATGATTCTCTTTCATAGATTTTCATGTTTTCATCCTTTATGAATTGATACAAATTTTTATCAAGATGATTTCTTCTATACTAAAACATAATTTTTTTTTGTTTTCATTTTTTGGTTTGAACAAAGTGTTTATGTTTTGGGATCATTTTAAATCACTCTTATGATGACATTTATGTGTTTGAGCTTCCAGATCATCTAGTTGTGGTTTATAATGTATTCCTTATATGGTTTGATCAAGTTTTACAAAAAAGATTTCTTCTATTGATCAAACACTTTTTAGATATGTACGTTGTTTTGTATTTACATATGAGAGATTATATGTTGGAGCAACCCTCCGGGAGGTTTACCGGATGCTAAAAGTTTTTTTGGGCTGAGAGTTACATTTTTAATTGTAGTTTTTATTTAAGTGGCAATTATATTTGACTGTTACGGAATCCAAAGAGCTTGATTTTTTTATTTATCATAATAGCCCTTACTTGCAACCTATATAAATTCACTTATTTGATGATTTAGATTTACACTCACCTCTTACAACCCTAACAACATCCTATACTCGCCCCATGACTTTACTATGATATTATTTGGATGATACAAGCTTACCAGTGAAAACATTATCCCTTCAGAAGAGATAACGACAAAGGGGACGACAAAGTGGGGATGAAGACGATTGAAGTTGTGCTGAGGAAGTACTGAGTTTTACTCGGATTATACTTTATACTGATGTGATTGTTAGACTGACGGCTATATGCGGATTGAGGATAAGATTGATACAAGGAAATGTAGAGAATTCGGATTGAGGGGGGGGGGGGGTTTTATAAACTTTTTTTTTCTATTTCTATAATTATTACTATGTACTTAATTGTGATTTGAGAGAAAAATTGTATTATTCATAAACTTAGTAGATATGTTTTTTGTAGCATGTTACTAATTATATGATAATAGAAGAGAGAGAATGTGAATGTGAGAATTTTGTTTTGTTATAATGGATTAGCAAAAATAAAGATAATTAATATAAACTGGAATAGCATGACACACTTAACAAAAAATAAAGAACAAACTTGGAATTTTTATCTTTTGGGTATTTTTTTTATATAATAAGTATATTATAACCTCCCTAATGTTAAAACTATATTCTAAATTTGCACATAAAACTACCAGTAGTTATTAAATAACATTCATTATCTTAAATTATAAAGTAAATAGAACTATGTCTTTTAAGATTAAAAAATTTGTATCTTTTGGGTATTCCATGATTTGCCAATGTTCACAAAATAACCCTGAATTTTTTCACAAACAACCATGGATCTTCATAATTTTCATAAAGACCATTGAAATTTAATATATTTATAGAAAATACTAAAACTTTATAAATTTTTTCAGATAAACCCCTATATAGTTCAAAACTTAAATATTGAGAAGATTGAAAGAAGTATATGATCTAAATTGTAAGAAAATTACAAATAAGTCCTCAAATATTGTTATAATTAATTACATTCAAAATAAAATTCTTTCATAAATTAAATAAAAAATTGTGTAAAGTATTAGAACATAAAACAAATATGTCTTCGTGCAACACACGTGCACTATACTAATGTCTATAAATGCCTTTTGACATTGTTAATTTAATACATCTTTATCTAAGGATTACTATCCAGAGGCGGAGCTTCAGGAGCGGGAAGTGGCGTTGGCCCATGAGCAAGCACAAATTCATAAAGCCGAAGTCCAAAACCTAAAGCCCACAAACCATGGACTTCTATCGAACAAGTGAGTCTATTTTGTAATAACCTGAAGCCAACAAAGTATATGGAAAATATAAGGTGTAGGAAAATTGAAGAAGTGACTCCACGTTCTTTTCTTTTTCTTTTTTTTTTCTGTAAAGTTAGGGGGTGTTTGGTTCAATTTCTAGAAATTATAGAAAATATTTTCCACCTAAAATATGATTTTCTTGTATTTCTTAAAAAATTATAGGAAAATTTTTGAGAAATCAAAAAGTACTAATTTTCTTGTTTTTTGTACTTTGCTTGTTTGGTTCAAAACAAGAAAATAGCTCATAACTTTATAGAAAATAACAAGATTTGGTAGAGTTTTAATTAAATATGGTATGTGTCAGATTTCTGGTGATTTCCTCTCATTTTGAGAGGAAATTATTTTTTGTAAAATTTAGTAGGTTTTGATATTTTATAGAAAATATTTCTGTAAATTTTTTGTTGAACCAAACACAATTTACAGAAATCTCTGAAAAACTTTTAATTACAAATTTACCATTGTCAGATATTTTAAGAAAAGTTTTCTTAAAAAGTGTGCAACCAAACAGCCTCTCTATTTCCCGCCTCATTATCCCTTGCCCTCAACAATAGTTAAAAAACTCATTTAAATTTGAGAGTGCAACATTAATTGTTTGACCGTTTCTATTTCCTCTATTTTCTACAAAAAGTTAAAGAAGTGAATTAAAAAGAAAATAGGACTTAATGTTTTATATATATTTTTCATTATCCAATTTTTAGGGAACCAATCAATACATGAGAAGGATTGGAGCTGCTGCAGCTGCATCAATTATGAATTTAACTTTCCATTTTCCTTACCTTCTTTTATTCAAATAGATTTACAAATAGAGAATCATGAGACAAATTCGTTTTGTAACTTTCCTTTATCTTTGGACTAAAAAATATATCTAAGATATGTTACCTGGATATGATGTCAGTTTTAGCAAAAATTAAATCATACTTTTTTAAACATTGCTCAATGGGATAATTCTTCATTTGCTGAGGACCTGAGGTGCCAAAAGAGAGGATCCAAATTGTTAGTGATTGCAAATTAAGTTTATTTGGAGCCAGTTTTTGGACTCATGAAATGGTCTTTGCCATAAATGGGAGGAAGTAAATAAATAAATAAAATAAAATAAAAAGAAATATGTGGAGGGCCGACAAAATAGAGGGAAGTAGCTTGCCCGCGAATCTCGTCATTTATTTGTCAAAACTAAACATTGAATTCACCTTTCTTTTGCTTTTATTAATTGGCACACGGGCACGACTTTGATAGTAAAGATGATCTAGGAAGTTCTTTTTTATTTAGACCCCTCTATTTCTAATATTTAAATACTATTTCCTCAGGCATTTTCCATCAAACTAAGCCAGACTACTTAGAATAGATGGCTTAGAACATCAACTTGGATATTTTAAATTATTTTTTATAGGTAAATGGGGCGTATAAAATTTTCATTGACTAAGAGATAAAACTGAAATACAATTTAGTTATGATCAGATATGTAAAGTTTCATTAGAATAATATGTAACATTAACTCTTCAAATAGTCCACTAAGAATCTATCTTGTTCTTAGGTCTTCAATTTTAGTGTTTAGTGTGTGTGTACAGTAATTATATGCAACGAATAAAGCCGGTGTATAAAGTTGCTAAACTCCAAATTGTTAGATTTTTTTTGTAAATAATTATTGAAAAGGGTTTTTCATATTAGTCCCATACATCTTTAGTAATTTGAAATTAGTTCCTCAAATCTTTATATTTTAATATTACTACCTCAAATCCTCAAATCTTTAATAAGTGTTTATACACGTCATTCTATTAGGGTTAGCATTAAAAAAACTAAATCATAATGGCTTTACCCTAACCATGCAAGTTATGAAAATATCTACAATTGATGAATTAACCCCACTCAAGCACTATTCCCCTCTCTTTACTTCCCACTCTAATTTTGTGAAATAGCTATTGATTATTAGGGTTATGGTGTTTTTGGCTGTCGCTGGAGAAGAAGAAAGTGAAAATGAGAAATGGGTTTGAATTTTAGGGGGATTCATTGACGGGTTTAGGTTGGGGAGAGTAATTAACAGGTTAAGTGAGGGTCTTAAATGTCAATTTTGGTATGTAGTTGAAGTTTTTGGAATATATCTTCTCATTTATAACTCCAACTAACCAAAGTTCTTATATCAACAGGATTTGAAGATTTGAGGGACCAATGTCTAATTACTAAAGGTTTAAAGGACTATTATAGAAAACCTCTATCAAAAAATTAGAGGGACGAATGTCTAATTACTAAAGGTTTAAAGGACTATTATAGAAAACCTCTATCAAAAAATTAGAAAGAAAAAATTTACCCTCAAAATTTCCAGCTATTTATTACATGTATCTTCCTATCTCAATTACTCACACGGCCTTTCTCTTCGTTCACCGCCATTCTCATCTTACATCTCTCTGTATAAATCACCTCCTTTCCTCTCGTCTCTCCTCCTTTGATTTCTCTCTCTACCAAAATCACGTGAGGTATCATCTCTCTCTTTCTCTCTCTAGATTTTATGATCTGATCACCTCTTTATTTCTATCTCTTAAAAAACCTAAATTTTTTGCACCCAATAAGTTCTCTTACCTTGAATCCCAATCTCATGCGTTTTCTTATGAAAGTTCTCATATTTTCTTTATGAAAACTCACTATTTTGATATCTTTGCCTTGTAAGTTCCTTAAAAACCCCAAAAAATAGCTTTTTGGTTGTGTATATATTAAAGGCTCGATTTCGTAAACTACCCATGTGTTATTTTTTCGATCAAGCGTCAAAATCCATCAGATCTACTAGAGATGAAGGAAATATATATAGAACTTCTTATTTATTTGTTTTTATTTCTGCAGGTATATTTTAAGCGGAATAATTTCGCGATGAAGCAGAACGCTTTCGCTGCATGCGAGGAGATGAGAGGCTCCTCCATCCCTGTTTACTGTCCCAAGCCTCGCCGGGTCGGGCAGCTCGCCGTTCCCGACCCGTTTAGATCCGTCCGATGGCAAGCCAGGTAGTCATCACCATCGTTTTATTAATATTATTCAGTATGAATACCACATATGAACTACTTAGAATTTATAAAAAAACCCCGAGAATTTATAAAAATTCTGAAACGTTTATTTGACAATATTTATTACATGAGTAAAGTATGTTAAAATTCTTCAAATTTTATTTTTAGATAGTTCTGGTATAAAAGGTCAACATCTGATGCTAAGGATTTTCAAGTATCAATATATAAATTTACTTGGATCTATTTCTTATTTTTGGTATTCTTTTTCTTTTGCAGTCCTAAATCTGATCATTATGATAAAGCTGGTGCAGAACTCCTTGATATTATTCTAACAAAGGTACCATCTTCATCTTCCAAATTCTTTTTCAAAAATTAGGAGTTTACAAAAGGCGTTTAATGTAAAGTTTCCGTTTATAGGGTGGAGAAGTTGCAATTTCACCCCCTTTTTTTGCCGGTTCACCTCCGACCCGATCCGCTAACCCGGTCGTGAATGACGCCCGCTTTGCCGAGGAGAAACCCGACCCGTTTTCATCATCAGGTCCGGGCACGCCGATTTCCCCACGTCAACGGGCAACAGGTTGCGCCCGAACCAAGTTCGGGTTCAAACCCGCGCCGGTCCGAGTCGAGGGTTTTCGGACCCACAGCATCTCTGCTACGGCTTAAGTGTTCTTATCATGAGAGGGAGTTAGTTTGAGGGAAGAGTTATTAACACTTATGTTAAGGATTATTGTACATTAATCCTATCTTTTTTTTTGACTTTAGGTATTATTTATCAAGAAACATGTAATTAGAAAAGGTTGTATGTGTAAATATGGGAGAAAAGAGCATGCTAAATTGTTTTTTTTTTAAATGAGTCAAGGGGACTTGAATTTGTAAAAAGAATAGTAGAGAATGGGTCCCTTTAGTTTCTTCTTAGGTCATGGAACATGTTTATGTATATAAATGAAAGATATGGAGATTGTTTTGGTGGCGATATTGTATATTATTGCGTTTTGATGGAGACTCTTGTGAATGTGGTTTCATTGGATGGGATTGACTGGAGGGATATGTTGGGGTTTACCTTGGCTCTTACAAAGTTTGTGATGATTCATGGGTATAACTTGATTGGGTTCTTGTGGTGATGAAAATTTTGACAATGGTTTATTTATTTTAATGATCTTACGAGTAATGGCCAAAAGATAAGAACATAAATCTTCTTAGTATCTTACAAAATGGCCAAAAGATAAGAACATAAATCTTCTTAGCTGATAGATTCCGGGTTCTCTTAGCTGGAGATTGAAGATTGACGGTGGAGAGTGTACTTTCTTACCCCTTAATCATTAATATTTTTTATTTAGGAGTTGTTTGGTTGGTTTTCTAAAATCAAAGAAAAGAAAATAGGACCCTGAAAATCATTAAAAGTTAATTTCTATCCATTTCCATCCTTAAAAATCACCCATATGACAACTCATTTTATCTCATCTTCTTTCTTACTTTTAAGAATGAACCAAACACAAAAAATGGGTCATATCATCCATCTCATCTCATCTCATCTTTAAAAATGAGTCACATCATCCAAAAATATGATGACAATTCATCTCATCTTATTAAAATTTAATTTTCATCAATTTCCTCGAAGACAATCATGAAATGAGTTTTACTAAATATGAGTCACATCATCTAATAATATAATGACAACTCATCTCATCTCTTTTCTTAGTTTTAAGAATGAACCAAACACAAAAAAGAACCTATTATAGAAAATAGATTTCTTATAATAGATTTCCTTTTTTAGCCAACCAAACAACCTCAAAACAAGTCATGAAATTTATTTCTTAAAAAATCACTCACATCATCCAATAATATGGTGACAATTCATCTCATCTCATCTCCTTTCTTACTTTTAAGAAGTGAACCAAACACAAGAAAAGAACCTATTAAAGAATCTATTAATGATGATGATAATCCATCGTGGGTGACCGAACGATTAGGAGCTTCTAATATGTCTCTCATACTTATTCCATTCTCAGTTGGGTTATCAAAATTAAAAAATTAAAATTAATGATTATGATATTTGGCAACAAATTAAAAATACTACATCCATTTATCCTTTATCCCTCATTTAACTCGTTGCCAAACAGCACTCGTCATTTAACCCGTTGCCAAACAATGTGTCATTTGTTAGCGGCAAGGTTGCAGAAAGCACTTGGCGGCCTTCGCGTAGGACTCAACGCCTAGTGCATAGGCGGTTTGGACATGGGCTAGACAACTTTCCTTTTCTGCTTTATAGTTACAATAATTGACATTAAATGTCAATGTTAGTTTAGGCATCGGATTAGTGCCTATGCGGATTTCTATCTTCGTTTAAATGGCGGTGGAGAAGGTTTTGCTGAAGGTCAAAGGGCATAGAGAAGGTATTCATAGTTGGACATTGGAGGAGTTTGGGGGATGTGGAGGCTACAATGGAGGAAATCACGACCACGACCTAAATGGTCCAGTCCACGAAAGCATACCACACTCCCCTAGGCACTCTCAAAACCTAGGTAAGCCTAGACTCTAAGCAGGCAACATCTGCACCGCCTAGGCCTAAGCAAACACCTAGGCGAACTAGGCGGAGACTTTTTAAAACATTGGGTAAAACATTGGATAGCAAGATAAGTGAGTGGTTAAGGAGACTTATCCCCTCCTTAACCCGACAAACACAAAAGATCTATAGAAGAAATAAAATGTAAACACTCTAGGTGTTAGGGGTTAAGGGAAAATGGTTAAGGGCAACTTAGGAAGGACTACCTTAACTAACCCTGTTTGGATTTGACGCTCAAGATGAAAGGTTAAAGCTTTTGTGTTTAGCATATAAAGAAGGGTTAAGAATAAGGAGCCTAGTTGCCATACATTTCCTAAATTATATTCTTTTTTTAAAGTTTCAATTCTTATTTCGAGATGAAGTAACTTTTAATCATTCTATTTCGGCGGATTTGGTAACCCCTCTAAGTGAGGGTAACCCCTCTAAGTGAGGGCTTAACTAACTTTAACCCTTATAAAGGGTTTGGTAACCCTTTGACCACTCTTTGACCAAATTAACCGGTTTAGATGGTTAACGTGGGGTTAGACCCCCTTAATAATTCTCTTAACCCATTGCCAAACATGGCCCTACAATTTACCAATTACCACTAGAAGGGTTAAAAAGAGTTAACTCTCAAAGTGAGGAGTTTACTAACACTCCCATTTATGCGGGTTAAGAGATGACATTTCTATTTGTAAAAAAAAGTAGACATTGAGCATGTTTAGCAACGTTTGATTATAACTCACTTGGCTTACAATCCACAAGTAAGCTTATGAGTCAAGTGGATTATAATTCAAAATATTTTAGTAAATTTAGTGGATTACAATCTAATTTCAATGGTAGAGAGTTTGACAAATTAGTGGCTTATAACCCATCTCTGTTCTCAAAATGACCAAAAGGAGTTGTAGATAGAGAAAGAGGGATTTAAAATTTTCTCAAATGCTAAGGGATAAATTGGTCTATTACTTGGTCAAACTATGTGGTTTAGAAGCCACCAAAAAATAAGTTTGGTTACCTCAACTTTATTTTTCTTGCTCATAAGTCAAAATAAGTTGTTTGCCAGACATGTCTCTATGGCTTGTAAGCCATTTTGACTAGTTGCCAAACATGATTATACCCTCTATTATTTCTAAACACTAACAAATATCACAATGATTAAAATAAATCTTTCTTAACGGGTTACAATTTAACCCGTTGGGTTAAAAAATGAATACCAATAGTATCAGAACACCCCCGCATGGTGTGGGGGTGTTCTGAATTGCATACTTGGGATGAAGGGGGCATGATGATAATTTTCATGCCCCACTCTACTATGCAGATCACCCCTCACAATGGCGTGTTCTCATAGGATGACTCATCTTAAAAAATGAGCTAGCTATATTGCTGCAGATGTCCCACAGGTTCAGGTTTATTTTCATTGTCCAAAATCTTGAATAATGTTAAGTATCGTTCTTGTTTTTTATAATCTACTTAAAAGATTTAACCATGGACTACTATAATATTATTTGAATGTTGATATCCTTTTCACTATAAACAATAAAATGATGAAGAAGATTGGGGTTA